TAGGAATTCAACAAGGAAAATGGTTCAATAGGGCTGCAACCCTATCAAAATAAGTAAAGCCTAACTTTATAGAACATCGATCATCTTGGCTTGAACATTATGGTTGTGAAAAAAAAAAAGATTTTAAACTCTAAAAATATGGTCATCGTAACAAATTATCTAGGCTGTTCATTTCGCCCTGAAAATAAGTATTCATAAATCCGTAAGATCTGTACCATTTTTTTAGTTTTCATATTTCATTATCAGTGTTGGAAATTGATTTGGAGCCGATTTCTATGCGGCCAGACCCGCATATGTATAAATGTGGGCCTCTTAATAAATCTATTTTTGAGATGGATTTAAGGACTTGATTTTTAAGGACATGTAATCTCTAACATGGAGATCATGAATATAAATAAATAAATAAATTTTAAAAACTAGAAATAACAATTCTATTAAGAAAACATTTGGACCATTAGTTTCCATTGTTTTTAGATGGAACACCTACTTGCATCCATCTTTAAGATTGATGCTTTACACTTTCTGGACCTCATATGTAGAAATGCGGCCCAGCCCACATGAAATAATTTTCCAATTGATTTTAGAGCCATCATGGATATTTCTATAGTCACAAGTGTTTTATGGACGAGGATTTGAGGTGTGGCCTTCTTTTGTTTTCATAAAGCCTAGGTCTAATCGAAACCTCATCCATGCTGCAATAGTCATCTACATTATTTTAAGCTTCAAATTCATAGAACTGTGATAGAATTAATTTACATTTATTTTCGACACGGTCATGAACAAGTTCTGATCCGGATCTATGTTATGAATAACAAGAAAGCTACTTGTCACCAACCAATCATAAGTACAAAGCAAATATAACTACAAAAGATCCTTATCCAGTAATTAAGCATAACCTTTGAAGAGATTTGAGCAACATATGGTCCACAAAATCAATTTATTAATGTTGTTTACCTTTCATATTAGGTCACAATGACTTTTAGTTATCAAATGTAAGATCAAATGGCTGGAATATGCCATTAATGATGTTTGAAGTTCAAAAACATTCGTTCTCAAGTGTAGAGAAACAACTACTCCAAACTGGCTGATCTCGGGTGATTGTGTCGTACTTTTATAAAATAGATCTTGTAGTATACAATCTTGGGCGATTGAACCTTAGGTATTGGGAGGACTTTTTTAATCTCAAAATTTGGGATCAACCTAAGAAGCACCATTCTTTTCAAAAAAAAAAAGAATTTCGAGTTCTTCAACATTTAGATCTCATCCTCCACATATTAGGTTGATTCAATCTTGGGACGTTATTCTTTTAAGGCACATATAGGGTGTGATTTAAATTTCTTTTACTTTTTTCACCTAATTGCTATGTTGAAGAGGTTATATCCCTAAAATTAGGGTTATAGAGATACTACAGGACTAGGTCTTACCCGAGTAGTAAATGGACAGCATGCTCCATGGGGAGTGTAGAATCTTTTGAATTTGGTTTTATTTCTTAAATACATGCTCTCATTGGTTAGAAATTGTTATAATCATTAACTTATTAATTAATTTAAAAGTAAAAAAAAAAAGCAACCTTAATCAATCCAAAAGTGATCATGAAACCCAACTTTGGATGAACCCTTTTTGTTTATTAGTCCCAATTTGGTTGTATCATAATTATGAATGTTGGATGGATTTGGGGAAAATCTAAATTAGGATTTAGGGTATTTAAGCCATGAACCTCACCAAATCAAAGGGAATTTGTCAGAATAAATAATTAAAACAAAAAAATAATAATCAAAACAAAAGATATATATAATTAAAACAAAAAAATAAAATAATGAATAAATTTGAAAACAGAAAGGCGCATGAGAAGAAAGGGACAAGATGCATGATAGTGTGATAATTTTTCCACACCCTTAGCCACATCTGTGATCTGGCAAAGCTCACTCCAAATAATTCAGGATGTACTGATTTTTTGACACCTCTTTTTCTTGTGCTTTTTACTTCTTCATTGGGGTTTTTTATATTATATTTCCTTCATATGTGGATTTATTTAAGGAATTCATATGGAACCCACAATTACATACTGGGCTCTGCACATTCCATAATCTCTTGCTCAAACATGCGTATCCTATGTGGCAGCTCCCTGTCCACTCATGACTTTTTAATCTATCTTGCTCTCATGGTATGTTAAAGTCAGTCAAAAGAAGTGCAAGAAACCGTAAATAATCTCTAGCTTTCATGAGGGAAAATCATCCATAAATAACCTCTAGCTGCATGAGGAAAAATCATATATGTAAATAATTTAAAAAATGTTGGGTCGGTATGGAATTGCTCGATCAGACCAAAAAAAAGTCACCCCATTCTGATTCTACATATATATATAGAAAAATAGCAGAGTCTAGAAAGGAATTGACAGTTCTGCACAATAGAACAACGATTCTCTAAAGTAAAATGACGACCTGGATTGGCAATCCAGACCGATTTCTGAGGTGCCAGATCTGAGTCATTGATCCGTTTTTTAAATCACTGATATATATTAAGGACCTGGTTTTTACGTATATGTAGAAATGCAATCCTATTAATAAATCTATTTTTGAGATGGATTTTTGGACTTAATTTTTAAAGATATGTAATCTCTAACATGGATATCATGAATATAAAAAAATAAATAAATTTTAAAAACTATAAATAATAATTCTAGCAAGAAAACATTTGGATCATTAGTTTCCAATGTTTTTTGATGGAACACCTACTTGCATCCATCTTTAAATTGGATGCTTTACACTTTATGGACCGCATATGTAGTCATGCGGTCCAGCCCCCATTGAGTCAATTTTCCATATATTATTACTCTTCCCCCACCCTTCCCCCCCTCCCCTCCCCCTCTCTCTCTCTCTCTCTCTCTCTCTCTCTCGT